GGAGGTTAACATTGAAATGCTCCACACTAGGCAACTATCGACAGTTTCGTTTCTTGGTTGGAGCCCCCGACAAAGAAAAAAAGTTTCTCAGCGCGCTGCCCAAGGGGAACCATCCGACCGTGTTTGCAAGTACAGATCATCACCTAAGTCGATCGATGTTGACGACAAGGATTGATTAGGCATTCCATGGTTCTCCTCTCCGGAATTGGCACTCAGTAAGTCATGTCGGCAACGCATCCTTTTCATCATGACAACGTCCGGGGCAGATCATCCGACATGGATTGTGGGTTAAAGGAGCCTTGCATGGACGAAGTCACGGAAATGGTACGTGATCTGACCCTTTATTCTCTGGTCGACCATTCAGAGACGTTCACAGGTGTCTATTTTTGCCAGGACGCCTCGGTGTCTCTGAGTGGTTATGCTCAACCTAGCTCGACGGTGTGGAAGAACAGTACGATCAAACCTGAAGCATGCTGTACCCTCGCGGAAATTGTCAATCGCCGACAGAATTTTGTATACAATGCTCCACCGTACTTTGTCGTGGATAAAACAGAGTGGATCATGTGGTGAGCTTGTATTCGCAGGGATCGTCATACCTCACACGCTTAGTTTGTAAACAGCCGTTACCTGCTTGTTAAGATTCCGTCTGAAGCGAAACCCGGCGTGGTTGTTCCTTCGCTGTCGAATGGTTTGCATCCGGAGCAGCAATCTCCGGAAGAACCCGAGATAGGGACGTATCTTGTACAAGAACGAAACTTGGTGACGAAGTTGGGAGCGAAGAGGATTGATGTTCCTCAGCCGTCGTATCAGCTTGACAAACTCGTAAGCGCATGCGTTTCGGGGCGAAAGGATATTATCCCTGAGGACGAAGACCGTGCTATTTTCGACCGACCTAATGAGGAGTCATCTGGTTCAGGAGCGAACCCAAGTTCTTCAAGAGATATTAAAGCGACTGCGGAGACAAAATACGTGGCACCTCTCCCCGCTAGGGTATGGATACCAGACGACAAGTGGATCCAGCGGAATGCAAAGGATCTGCTTCCTCCTCCAACGGAGTTTTCTATTACTGCCTCAGTGGCACTGCGAAGAGAGCTCAGCTCGATGATGCGAGAACAAACTACCGCGATGGAGACGAATGATTTGGGAACGTTGGGGTGGTACCTCCCTCCCCAACACAATGACAATAATTTATATCAATGGTTGGTGGAGCTTCATTCGTTTGACCCAGAGCTCCCAATTGCAAAAGATATGGAGTCAAAGTAGGTCATCGTACGCATGGCTTTGAGCGTGCTGCTTGATGGTGCCCCACAGAGGTGTCGCTTCAGTTGCGATGGAAATTCGGTTCCCACCAAGCTTCCCACACGCTCCGCCATTTTTCCGTGTGATTCGGCCCCGTTTCCGGCCGTTCGTGGAGGTAAAAACTCGAATACTTGGCGCGTTCAATCTAACATGTGCACAGGGAGGCGGTGGCAATGTCACAATCGGTGAGGTGGCATGCTTGCCTTGAGACATCAACGTGCAGTAACCGCTTTCCTTAGGGGGTTCCATTTGTATGGATCTACTCACCTCGGACGGTGTGTTCTTCTCACATCGTCTTCTATGATACTCGCTGAGATTGGTTTCAGGTTGGCTGCCGAGCTATTGGTAGGTCTGATGAATAGACAAACAAGGACTCACGTTCACCCTTTGCCAGTGTGTCTGCGGTATTGTTACAGATCAAGCTGGCTCTGTCGTCCACAGCGCCATACCCGGCCAGATTGCAAAACGAGTGGGATCGGTGAGTCTTTTGCTTGCACAACTCACCTGCTGGTTCATTGGAATGCAGGCCATACACCCCCGACGAAGCATTGAGGGGATATATTCGAGCGGCGAGATTTCACAATTGGAAGGTGAGTTGTGGGTCTCGAGGAGCGATGCTCTATATACTAATGCCATGACATTACTTTAGATCAAGAACGTAGAGGAGATTCAAAAGTTAGTGACGGCACATTGATGGCTTGTATGACTACATATGTATCTATTTTCTTGCATTGACCCTGCCAAGCAATGTACATGGCGGATGAGACGTTCTCCCTGACGACCATGGGCAGCGCTGATTGGAGGATGACTACATAGTGAAAAAGGAAAATCACGCCTGCAGGAACTGAGGTGGCTGGTGCGGCTGAGTTCGAATGTCACACCGGATGAGCATTCGGTTGTTGTCTCTGGTCCTCGTCGTTGCCGCCGTCCTGTAAAGTCTTCCTTTTTCCTCTCATTTTCTACTTTCCTTCCTACCAGGCCGCCCTCTGTTGCGGAGCCGTTCTTTATTTGCTTTTCAAAGGGTTTCCAACCCCTCGACATACGTTGATCACATCGACGTATCAATCATCCACCGATATGAACAAGAGAGGAGGCTTTGCTCATGTCCGTGTCGGGCACGCTGGCGCCCATACCCTCCACAGGCGCAATTGTGGGTAACACATCTCCAGTCTTTACATTCCTGTCGTGATGGGTTGCTTTTTTCTAGCGTGCGCCACTGGCGGATTCTATACCAACCCAACGACAGGGATGGTCGTTTCGAGCGCTAACCCTGTCAATATTTCCTGGGACACATCGTGCTTGCCCAATACGCCAGCCGTCGATATCTATCTCATCGCCCCAGGTCTCGCCAGCAGTCGTATTCACGAATGGCAAAACGTCAACTTTCCCTTGGGTAGTTACCAGACCACCCTCGAGCCCAAGTGGTGGAATGATTCGTCCTCGGAGTCGCTTCAGTTCTCGATCGTTGCTTCTGGTTCCCAACCCTTCCTCAGTCCTTTCCCCGCCGGACCTGTATTTACTGCGACCTACACTGCTCCCACTTCCGGTTCCACCGCCGCCGACGCCAACCTAAACTCCCCGAATACTGTCACATATGTCAATAACTTCCCTACCAACAGCTCTCTCTCAAAAGGGAAAATTGCGGCTGGACTTCTCATTCCACTCTTTTTCATCGCCCTCGGCAGTTACATCTACATCAAGATCAGCCGCGCTAGGGGCAAAGAGAAACGCAGACGCTTCTCCGAGGCGGTCGACAAACGCATGTCGACCATCTCTTCCGATTGGAAGTCGATCACCACCGCTGGTGCTACTGCTGCGATTCGCAACAGTATCGCCGTTGGGAGCATAGGGAACCGTTCATCCGCCTTTACATTTGGTGCTATCCGCCCTACTAGCACCATGGCTGTCGAAGGCGATTCGGCGAGCGCGGAGAAACAATCTATCGATATATCCCAGCTTCGTCCCGGTATCCGCTCTTCGGCATTTGGCGAGCGAGTCTCTAGGGTATCTTTTGCGGCTGACGTCCGTCCATCTATGGAATCCCGTCGTACTACGACGACCAGTCGTGCATTCCGCTCGTCCCGAGCATCGTCGTTTATCCCGCCTCTCCCGATCCCAGCTTTCCCAGTTCAGAACGACACGGGTGACATGTCTCCTATACAGACCATGGGTGCGCTTTCTTTGACTCCTGAAGATATCGAAGCCCGTATGGAAGGTGATAATACTATGGAATCGCATACCGATATGGATGAGGTTTGGCCCTCACTTTCTAGTGAGTGTATTTTGTTTCCGATTTTCGCACGATACTTACCCACTACATAGTGATGCGCACTGGAAATGAGCAGGGGGCTGGAGATGACTATCTTTTGCCACAAGAGAAAAGTGTCGATCTCCCTAAGCCTCCATTCCCTGTCCACCCTGCGCCTGCGCCTGCACCCACATCTCCACTATCTGGTATGATGCCAATGCCTGATAACATGATGTCGCCCGACGAGATGTTGCGAGCGTACGCCACGCGCAAGATGACATCCCCTCCTACCTCCCCAATTGCTTTCCCCGCACGTACCCTCAGTCACCATGGGTCCATCATGAGAACTCTCTATACTCCAACCACTCCCACTCCGGACTCGTCTTCTGGTGCCGCCGTTCGTGTCAGCGTCACACAAACACTGGATGCTGAGAAGAGGTACACATCATCATACGCATCCATCGATCCTTATGGTGGCTTTTCCGGGTAAGGACCTCGTGGTGATGTCGACTGCAATGTGTTCTCTTGTCCCGTGACGTTTGACGCACCTTTTCGAGCACACGGTTTATTTCTGCTGGTGTTAGTTTTCCTAACTGAAAAAAAGTGTATGACCGTGTTTTATAGGATTGAATGTTTCCCCTGCGTTACTTCCTCACCATTTTTTTTCTTGTGCGATGTCCTCTTGTCGAATGTGGTCCTTTTGCGCCCCCCAACGCTGGAAGTTATTGATACCTTTGGTACCCGCAGTTTTATTTCATACCCTCCTATTCTTATTTTTTTTTTCTTGCTGCTAGTCTGTCACCTTCCCTCGCAAGTTGATTCGACGCATCCGTACATTGACCCGGTTTGATTTGTCTTGGCCGTGTGCTCTTTCCCCCACTCGCCCCAATTTTTTCCCACCAAAGTACTCCTGCCCAGAGCTTGAGCGTTTACCTGTTTTTCTAAACTAGAACGCTATGCAATTCAATCTATCCCTTGTCATAGTATGGCTGAGCAGGGTGTGTCCCCGTTGACTTGATTCGGCTAGCCATGATCATTCCGCGTCCCTCCACGAACGATTCAGATTATCATAAGTACCCATGGCCAACCTATGGCGGTGTTCATCAATCCCACATCTGACAGTCCTGGGAGCATATGACATTTTGGAGTGCCGTCGGTCTTGCTCCCGTCTTTTGGTTGAAACTTTCTTTGAGACTTCAAGTTCCGCCCCGTGTTTTGGACCTTTTGGTGGATCGGATAAGATTCCCAAGACGTCTGACCACAAGACACGCACAGGCTTCAACGAGGCACTGGGCTGTACGTGACATCGATCATTGGGCGAGGCAATGATCAGACAACCGAAGTTTGTGAATCACTGTGAATGGTGGTCATTCAAATGTGTAAATTTACACTCATCCGACTTGTGAGGGAATACGTGACTGCATACATCTTACGATACTCGTTTCCCTACGTATCGGATATGGTGTAACGGCCAACATTACCGCCTCTCAATCGATCGCGGTAGCTCGGGGTTCGATTCCCCGTATCCGAGTCCTTTTTGTTTTCTTGTAACTCTCGACCCAACCAGCTTCTTTATCAAAACAAAAATATTCACGTTTCATACTATAACCTCGTTCAAGCCATGACCAGGCGCAAGCGTTGTGAAGTCGACTATAAAGGATTGATGCCATCATTGACAATGATGGTGCGTTGCTAGCACAGCGCGACAGTCGGACTCGTTTACGGAAGATGGACACTGGACAGTCTCCGGCTCATCGGTCACGGCACTGGTTACATTTTTTTCGCGTACATTCTGGCGTGCCCCATTGTAAACTGGAGCAACCCTTTCAAGCAACTCTTTCGATGTGCAGAACACCATCAGGAATATTCACCGCCCAATGAAACACGGTATGTACCACTGGCACAACCTCAATCCCAATACTTACTGTATATCTCCAAGGACGCTAACGTTACCACTTGGTTACTTAGTTCGAGCCGTTGGGCAATTCTAAGTAACCTCCGGGTCGATCGTATTCAAGGTCATTCAGTTGGAATCGATAGCTGACGAAAAAAATCGACGACTGTTCCTGTGCAAACCTTGCGCGTTTTTGGTTCTGCCAAGTTAGTTGATGGGCCCCGTTTATCTCGGTTTGGTAATTGTTTCAGGACTTCAAGTAACGGCGGAGTCCGGCCCTGGGTCTCCATGAGTATATCAGCAACGTAGCAGGGGCGTCATGCCCTGCTCAAGTTCGATCGCAGCCGCAACCAAGAACTCGAAATGGGCTTGTATGGTACAACTATTGGTGCGTACAACGAGGTGCCCTATTTCTGCAATGCACTTCAAGTTTATTGACAGCTCGAATGATAGGTACGCTCCTAGTGGGCATCTTCTGTGAGTATCTGCCATTTGCGTCACCGACGTCGTTTTGCGCCCTCATATCGCAAACCGAGTCAATACATTATTGTATGGCCTTGTCACGTACCAGTTCGCGGTGTACCACTGGATGCGTAAGTAGCAACAACAAAGCTGAGTCCATTATAACTCATATCCCGTTCCAGGATTCAATGATCGGCCAGCGTTAAAGTTGGTCGATCACCGATTTACGAGCGTTCAGTTTCGACGAGTGATTTTAGGTATACAGTGCTCTTCCTGTTCATTTTGGATACATTCCACAGCGGCTGGTGAGTGTCATTTGTCCGGTGTTTGGGAAATCTCCAATTATTTCCACAGCGCCATATATATGGCATGGTATTATGCGTACGTAGCCTCTCAACCATCGCGCCTATTCATGTTGAGCGCATTTCAGTGTGACAAATTTTGGTAATCCTGCAGCTCTCGCAGGTGAGCAAACATCTCGCCTTTTCGATCTGCTCCTAATTTTCCTTGAAGCGGCTGTATGGCCATATCCATTTACTGCTATTGGTAATTCGTTTGCTGCCTTGACGACGCATATATATCTGGCAATCAGGCAAGTATACAGGTATGCCGATGCAATCCCAGATTGAATCCTAGCATGTTGTAGGATTTGGCGTTTGACCAGTAACAAATTCCTATATGGCGTGGCCATCCTGCTGGCCATCCTTTCCTTCATTCTGGGTATGATTACTGGCATCAAAGGTTGGATCATGAAATTGTATGTCTCACGAGTGAGATACTGCATCAAACTAACCTTGATTGTTTAGTGCGTCCAAGCTGCCTAGGACAAGACGAGACGTACATTTACAGCGTGTCGCGGAGCACCGCGAGCATGACGTCGTAGCGCGGTATCGGCTTCGTCAAGGTTGTGTCGTCCGGGTGGACTTTTTCCTCGCGCTTGGGTTCCGTAACGGGTTGTGTCACCACCGGAGATCTTGACTGCAATCAAGCTTCAAGGATGAGCGTGCACGGTGCGTGATATCCGTGATCCTGATACGCATAAGCCCGTTTCCATCAGAGTCGGTTCACCATGCAAGACATCATCAGAGCTCAACAGAGGCTTGTTCCGGTTCTGAGCCAACTGATGGATTAAACGTTATGTCGTAATGGCCCCTTTCCTGTTGTTGCCCCTTTCTCCGAGTTGCTCGAACACCAATCTACCATGTCACTCTCAACTCACACCTCCGTGTACTTATTCTCAAATCGAGAGTATGATCTGTTAAACGAATTTTCGCGTTCAGCTTGGGGGCGTCCCAAGCTCCTCTTCAAAACCTTGGATGCTTCTTCTGCTGGTGTCATTGAGTTCATCGAGCTCGGCGAATATTTCCCCGTCTTTCGAGCCCTTTTTTCAGGGATTGTGCGGCATCCAAGGATCCTTGTCAGAGACGAGTACCGTGTCGCACTGGGCTTTACAGGGAAATAAAGACTACGATTGTGGGGCTTATATTATTGGTCACCCTGGCATCGGTAAGTCTTGGACAAAGCTTTGGCATATGTTGACATTCCTCTAGGGAAAACATTTTTCCTCGTCTATCTAATCATGCATTGTCTCGGCCAGAAACAGGCTGTCGCATTCCAACTTCCAAGCCTCATACCATCAGTCTATGCCTTCTTTTCCAAAGAAGGTGTTAGTATTCAATCTCTCGGGGATGGTCGCCCGATGTCCGACTGCCCATCCTTCATATGGGCTCTCTGTGATGCTGCAGTTCCATGCCCTATCTTCATGGGTCACCCAGATCGTATCCGTATTATTCAGACAACTGCACCCAAGTCCTCGCATTACAGATCATGGAGTAAGCAACTTGATGCTGAGCCCTTTGTCATGGATGTTTGGTCCACCGAAGAAATCAGGAAGCTTGCGTATGTAAAACACGTCCCATCGTGGCCAGAGCTGATGAGACCGCTAGCATCATGTTAAACCTGGATGTCGAGTGCATGACTGAACTTGCAACGAAATGGGGGGGTGTCCCGCAGACACTACTGTACGTTCTTACCAATCCTAAGAAGGCCGAGAACAAAATCCGCAGTGCTGCCAAAAAAGCTATCCGAGAATGTGACGCCATGTTGGTCAATGCAGAACCGCTCAACCTCCCTGATAATGTATTCTATTTCATTCGACCGGAAAATACTCCTGGAGGGACCGACCACATGATGCTACCTTGCGTATCCGTGCCGACACAAACTCTCCGCTCCCTTCTCGCAGAGGCCCTTAAGCGGGAAACCCGTGCCATCAAGCTTGATTTCTTCAGAGCTCTAAGTCGACCGGAAGGGACTCATCAAATTGCTCGTGATATCTACAAATCCTGGCTCCATAGCTTTCTCTCTTCGCAAGGAATGAAGATGCAGTGCGAGTGGCTTCTGACATCAGGCTCGACACGTGAATCGACTCGGACCCAGAATCTACAAGGGACAACTGCTGTCATTTCGACAACCCAGGATGCATCGGCAGCCTGGACACCCCCCTTCTACTGGGTTCCCACCACCCCAAATTTTCCTGGTATTGACAGCGCGCTGATATCGAAGAAAGAGATTGTGGCAATCCGAGTTGTTATCACAGACCGTCATCGCTCACCACCGGAAATGGGTTTGGTGGAACTAAGTAACCTCTTACCAGGCAACCTGAAGAGTCTTTCTTGGAAGTTGCTGTTTGTGGGGATGGACAACGAATGCGGGCTCAAGATCATTGCAAAGAGTTTCCACAAGAGGAAAGTCTCTCTGACAGAAGAGTCATCCGTACGGGTTGCCAGTGGGTGGTCAGTGGTAGATCCTGTGCAGGAGGACGTCATTTACAAGGTATGCAAGCTGGTTAGTCCGTCAAGCATCTTTTGACATGATTGATAGGAATTTGGTGATGTGTCTGATCCGGCAGCAGACGAATCCGTGAAGGCCGAGGAGTAATACGAATGGTGTGTTCCACTTTTTTTCGCAGCCACCCCCATTGAACGACACATCTCCATGCTACCCGACCTCTAAACCCTCGCGCTTCTCTCGTCTATCCGTTCCATCTTCAGCTACTCCCTCCTTTCACTTTTGCGCTCTAACCAGGTCTCCATCATCTCTCACTCGGGTGTGATGTTCAAAGAAAAAGTATGCCAGCGTGAGTGAATTGGAGTTCAGCGCTGAAGAGAACAATGGGATGCATGGTTATTCGCGTCATTTTTGCATTCTTCATTTTTGCACGAATTGAGACATGCAAGTCGTTGTTGCTACAAAAGCATAGGTAAGTTACATCCACGTCGTAGTGACTTCGAACTATGGGGAGCTTCTGGGGCCCAGTGGCTGTGCATAACGGACGAGTTAGTGGGCCAGATGGGCGGAGACGTACCAGAGGTCCAGAGTAAAGTAAATCCAATAGATTCGCCTCGTGGTCCTCACGAGATTTTTGTGTGCTTGCTAATTTGCTATTGCCATTGCCATTGCCAACGATGTCGACGACATTGGAGGTCGCCCACGGTACTTCACTCATTGATCTCCCTCCCGAGCTCCTCACTGTGATATGTCTCCTTGTGGCATGTCCGACGGTCGTTTGGTGTCGTCTCGTTGCGTTTTCTTTCTTTTTCCCGTCTTTCAATGGTCGACTCACTCGAGCGTTGTCAATGATTGATCTAGGTATGTCGACAACTGAGAAATGTCATCGATGCGTCGCTCGAACTGCAGTACCGCATCGAACTTGTGCGAGATGGGATGATGAATGGCGATGTTGACGTCGATGTTCGTCCTCGTTTCCTCTCTCGACTCGCACTCCCAGGTCGTTCTCTCACGGTTCCCACCCCTTGGCAGACTCGGACCACGTCTTACTCTCAGCCTGGCGCCCTCACGACATCCGCCGATCGCCTCGTTCGGCTTCGTCAGCTCCGAAAAGCATGGAAGACGTTGAGTTGGACGCAGTGCGTGACAGTGCCGACGCCTGGGCCATGTTGTGCGTACGAGCTCGTCGGCGGTGTGTTTTGCAAGACGCAGCCAACTATTCGGAGAGGGGGTCGGGGCGGTGGGTTCGGGAGTGAGTTGGGTGGATGGCCTGGGCTTGCAGCTATGGTTATGAATGGGTTTGCAGGAAACGGAAATGGCGAAGAAGAAGCGCAAGAGGAACCGACACACGGCCTTGGCTCGCGCACCACCATGTCCGCGACGTGGCT